AAAGAGTGACTAAGTTCACTCTCTGCATTTTCCTAGCACCATCTTCTTCTCCTTGATGACTTTGACTCCTCTGCACACTGATCACATTTGCATTCTGAGTGGCAGCAGCTGCCTGGGAAGGTAAGGGGTGGGGTAAGTTCAGGTCAAGTTCCTACACTGTTGGCCATGGCACTACATGCAGCCCCAGGATCCATGCCATAGGCCTACTGACAACATTTGCACTGTCTGTGGAGAGCGACAGGTCCTGCAGGGAGCAGGGCCAAAGCAGGAAGCCAGCTTATATGCTCTCAACTGGAGGAGTTCCTCTGTTTGCATTTACTGTACAAAGAGTGTAAGGAGACCACAAGACTCGCTCATGAACCGGGAAGAGTATATGGCCTATGCTGGGTGATGTGAAACCCCCCAAAGGGGCATTTCAGCTGACTTGTAAATTCAAGCAGCATTCAGACATCTAAAAGACATTAAGCACACACCATGGTTTGCATTCAAAACTGGCTGCAAAAATATGAACGTTTCAGCAGCAGTCTACAAACTTGACTACAAACACGTAAGGCACACTAACCAAATGCATTCCAAATCAGTCTGTGTAAATGAGGGTTGTGTTTAAAATGACAGATTAGCAGGGCAGGAATATTCCAGACAGGCTACTCACTTGCGTTCTGCATTTTCATCCTTTAATATTAAACATTTTCATAATGATGATAGAAAAAGTGACTAAATCTGTTAATCAGTGCAATTAGTAATTCCGCTGTATTCAAATTGATCTCAAAGATAACAACGAATGACTAACATTCAAATGACTAACATTAATCATTAATCTGCCTCAAAAATCTATTTTAAAGCTAAGTAAGTATTCGGTGCAGATGACATTTCCAAACCTTAGCTGGGATTGGTTAGTGAAATTCCACTAAAATGGAGGAAAAAGATTTTTCAAGACCCAAAGCTTTGGCCCACTTTATACAAGGATTTTAAAAGCAATTCACTGCATACAATGAACTTTCAGATAATGAGATTGCAGAATCAGCTCTTGCAGCTACACATTTAGTTCAATCTACAAGGTACGTAGCATTCACTGCCTCTTACATTCAATCAAAGCGCCAGTAGCTACACTCCAACACTCAATACTAAGCACCTAACCTTCAAGCTGTCCTTAAAAAGGGAAGGTTTTGTGCTACCAGCTGAACACTGGAGCACAGGAGCTCTGAAATGCTCTCTGAGTGCAAAGGTAACAGGATAAATTAAGACTCAGAAAGCCACAGCACTTTGAGATAATCTAGTAAGATGAGGATTTCTGCATGAAAGAGCCAGCCACTCAAAGAGAACTCATAATCCCTCCTGATTTTCACACTAGATCATTTTCCAATGAGCTGTGGGACTTGCATGTCATGTTACAGTTGTACACATGAGAAATACAGCAACTGTAGCTAGGCAAGCACTCTCCATTTACGACAGAGGGGGAAAGGTGTTACATTACTCTTTGCAGCCATGAAGTCATCCAGTTTGAAAGAGAACTGAAAACCTTTGGTTTCTGAGGCAAACAGCTAAGAATAGCCCTCAGATAGAGAAATTGAAATCTAACAGCCCTTAATTTCCCTACGCCTCTGGACTAATGGACAGACTGGCATCAGTAGCTGAGCATGAACCTAGTTCCCTCCAAACCATGCCACGCTCTTTCTATTAACGTCCATTTTGCATTTTCTCTGACTGATATCTCATAAGTCTAGCTTCACTGTTATCAATCCTTCACTGAAGCTGGCAATTTCCAGAGCCAAAAGCATGAGCTGTACAGCTCAGGAGAAACAGCCTCCGGTCCCCAACTCACACCCTGTGCACAGCACATAGCGTGGGGACAGGTAACAGCTGATAGCTTATGGTATATGCTATGGAGAGCAGCAAAGACCGAGGAGAGCAGGATGCCCCAAGGCAGTAAGAGAGCAGTAAAGACTGCAACCTTTACAAGAGAACAGAACGCGAGCTATGCCCTGCAAGGACTGCATGTCTCCAGCATGTGGGGAAGCAGGAAAGTCAATAGACTCCCAGCGCAGTTGCTCCTCTACATAGCTGATAAAATGCCAGACCTCTGCCAGGATTAGGGTGCCAGTGTGCCTGATGCCACAAGAAAGCAGAAGAGCAAACAGATTCTCTCTTCTATTAGAATTTGAGATAAGAACTGTAAAGCTTACAGGGCCTACAAACAAAGACAGCACAGTATTATTAGTCTGAATAAAACAAACAAAAAAATTCCTTCTTATCAGCCAATTCAGAAATGATTACTCCGAATGTATCTGACACGCCCATGGCCATCTGGAGCCTAACATAAAGTTTACTGGACCTCTGAACATCTTGTAAAATATACTCAGATAAAAGGAAACTCTACTGTAGTCGGAGTGAAAGGCTAGCCTCAGTACTAAATCCTTCAAATTAAGTTGTTTAAAGAGAAAAATGAAAATACAAAGAAATATTTTTGGACTAATTACTGGTTATTATAAGCGCAGTACTTGCAAGGAACAGTCATCATCTTTTGGATTTAACAGGCCACGGATAAGTCTAGTGCAGCTATTCCAAAATTTTTAGGATAATATACCACTATCAGCTCCCAAACTTTATCAGTACAGACATAACAGAATAGGGATCCTGTAAATGCTACTGTATAAATATCAGTTGGTACACCAGCACTGGACCACTTATCATGGCTTGAAAACTACAGTTCAGTGACAGCTGCTGATGAAAGAAGTATTTGGGGAAAAATTGGATGAAAGGCTGTTAAATTCAACTCATAAATCAAATTGAACATATCTGTAATTGTGTCTGTTCATCCACAAATGTTTCACGGTAATCTGAGTCTTCAGGGTGTATTCATATATAGGTTTGCCCAGCTAGATTGTGGAATACTCAAAAGCAACTCTTTGAGAGGGAGGGTATTACGTAGAGAAAAAATGACACAAAGAGGGCAGAAAACAGTAAGTTTTGTAAATAATGAGCAATGAGAAAATACTCTAGCTTCAGTATCTGAGCCTCAGGAGACCTACAGCTGTGAGGCGAGGTCTGACATCACAGTACCGACATGTAACAATAGATCTACCCGGTCTTGCACAATCTCTCTGACATGGTAGCTTAGACCGACATCAGAAGATACCTTAACAGCATTTCTAATATTTTGACAGAGTGAACATGAGAAAACACCAAGACACAAAGAAAAGGTAATGAAATATGAATAAAAATGTGTCTCCCACCTGTGACGTCAACCTTGAAGGTCAGCTTCTGGCCAGCAGCCTCACAGGTGTACTCGCCAGCATCTTTCTTTTCCACCTGACCCACCACCAGCCGCCGCGATCTGCCCTCTGACTCCACCTTGAACTTCTTGCTCGAGGTGATCAGCTTCCCCTCCTTGTACCATTTCACCTCGGTCTTCTCCTGGGCCACCTCGCAGCTCAGTGTGGCGTTCTCTTTGAGGGCTGCCTGCACCTCCTTCTGCACCTTGTCCTTGTTTGTAAAGACATCTTCGGGCTCTGCAACGAGGACACAATAGTCATACATGGTTTTTTGCAGTGTTCTGCAGTACTTACAAAAGTTCCTCTTATTTCACTATATTTGCCCTAATAGTCAGTACCGTGATGGCTTGTTAATAAAGGAAAGTACATTCATCTGTATTTTGCAGATGGGAAATAAATAGGTGATTTTCCCAAAATCATATGGGACCTCTGGAACAAAGTTAAGAATTTTGTGTATAATTTGAGCACAGATTTGAACCTGGGTGTAGAGCACCACTCTCCTACGCCTGAACCCTCCTCCTTCATCCCTCTTTTCTCTCTTTTTGTGCCTCTCTAAGCTACCAATGATTCAGAATGGAACAGCCCTCATACCAAGGGACCAAGAAACATTGCTACACTTCGACATCACTCTCATTGCAGTCTAAAATTTATTTGCTAGGAGTGCAGTACAGGGGGCATGAGAGAAGGATGAGTCCCCCTCTTTCATTCTTCTCAGTATTTTGAAGACCCATGCTTGATGCCCTACTTCAGTTTATGTGCTAAAGGAATCCTCTTTGTTGATCAAGTAAGTGCAATAAAACATAAAGTTGTATAAGATAATTTGATTAAAAAGATAAGTTTCTCAGTTTCACACAATTTAAGAGCTGCTCTCAATTTCCACTGCAGAACTATCAATTTAGAACTGGTCCACAGATTTCACCAATTCCTGTTGCCCTTCCACAGTTCTCAAACCAAGCATCTAGAATACCTCAAACTTGGTGAATTTGTGAGAAACTATACAGAATGTGCCATCTTACCCCTTGCTTTGACCAGAAGAAAAAGTGAATATGAAATTATTTCAGTGTAGTAGAAGAAATGACATCCAAAGAAGGTACAGCCAGCATTGGTACAGATGAAAAGCTTTTCTCCTATTTCAATGTGTTCATGACCTGAAGTATCACGCAACTCAAGGACTGCACTTCAGACGGCTCTCTCTCAATCTATTTACAAGACCCAACCTATTTCCTAGATTCAATCTCTCTCTGCTAATTGCAGAATCTACTACTTGTGCCCTATCAGCTTTTCCTTTATGTCTAAAATAAAAAATTATTCATTGATAGTCCAGCTGTCCTCTCTTTCTGTCTATTTGGGTCTCTCAAATTCAGTGATTCCCCATCTAATGAGAGTTCTTCAAATGCCTCCCACTCCCTTTTTATCTACCCCTCTACCTCCGCTATGGCCTTTCATTGTAATTCTGCAGGACTGCTTCTGCAGACACATTAGGTGATTGCAAGAGGCACAGAAGTTATCCTCCATGCCCATCATTTGTTGCAGTTGCAATTAGCCAAGGAAGAAAAACTGTGTGTAAAAAAAAATACATGTTGGTTGAAACACAACCACATTCCGTGATTCTGTGATTCTGTGAAATACGTGTTGGCTGAAAATCAAGTCCTACAGCTGAAATATTTCACATCCCAGAGAGGTTCTGAGATGACTCCTTGAATGTAAGTTGCTATCTAAAATGGAGTACTCCTTATCTTTGGCTTTTCTAACATTTTCTCACCTCTGACTTTGACTTGGAATGTTACTTTGTCGTCATTTGTTTCACAGGTATAGCTCCCTTGCTCTTGCTGAGTCACATTCTTGATGATGAGCTTATGATGTCTTCCCTGAGAGGTGACTGTCGTTCTCTGGTCCTGCTTAATCTCGGTTTGATCCTTCTTCCATATCACAGCTCCTCTTGCTGCTGACACCTCACATACCAGCTCAAGGTTCTCAGAAGGACTGAATGATATTTCGGGAGTTATTTGCGGCTTGTTTACAAACTTGACAGGTTCATCTGGAAGGAGGAAGACAATAGTCAATAGGAAAAAGAAGAAAATATTAATCATCTTTGAAAATATTAATCATCTTTGACTCAGGCTTACTCAGCTTTACTCAGCACAATGTTAAGAAAGACACAGTTGCATCACTCCTCTGCCAGTCATACTAGTGTGCTGAATGCTCAGCTCTGGAGGAGTAAATGCATATATGTGGAGGAGTTACTGTTGCAACATAATTATGACAGAGTGTCATCGATGACACTCAGACTAATGATGACACTCAGACTGATGATGACAATGAACTATGGTTACCAGCCAGAAAAATCCCCTGAGTTACAGCAGAGGTATCTGTACTAGGGAACTCATCGTCCAAGTTTTAAATAATACAGAGAGCTATTATCTGTTGGTCTCCTGTTTGGGAGATGGGTATGAATGACTCCAGGTGGAAAAGCTGCCTCTAGCCTTGAAAAAAAAGAAGCCTAGGATACAGAAGTTCATGCTCATAGTCTCATTTGGGCCTTTAATATATGTATACATATGAATAAACTATCATATATATATGTGTGTGTGTGTGTGTGTGTGTGTGTGTGTGTCTTACACAAACACACACACACATATATATATATATGAGAATATTTTATTAATATGATAAACCTCACCGTATTCAGTGTGAATGTTTCCATGAGTAACATGGAAAATAATACTCAACATGTTTTGGTCAAATTCAAAGAACTGGAAAATGTTCGCAATTTCATTTCCATTCTTCTGAAGTGCTGATTAACTACAGTGCAAGTGGACTTACTGATACACTGGTCCTGTTTGTCCTCAAAAGCTATCACACTAGGTGGACATCGTGACATTAATACTAGCCCTATGTTAGAAGAGAATAACTTCTAGATAGATGCCGATCTACTCTTACCTGTAGTCATAACCAAAATCCACCTAACTCATGTGCCGTCATTTTCTGCCTCCTGTCTGAGAGTCAGACATGAATGCTGCTACAGAGCATAGATAAGGTGGTTTCTACTAACGGAACTGTATGTGCATAAAGCCATGAGCAGAGTCTGGCCTGACATCACTTTATTTCACAGCTCCTGTGTCATCACAAACATAAATGTTGATGCCTCGACTTTCTGACAGATGGTACAAGCTCCTTCTCTGATCTCTAGACAACTGCCCCCAGTAACAGTGCAGTCACATTCCTCTGTCCCACATCCTGCCTGTTTTTAATCAAGCTGAGGTGCATTCAAGTTACTGAAACTTTAATCACTGCTCATTGTTTCTGATTTCAAGCAAGCTTTAGGGAATAAGAGTTGATGTTTGACTCCACATACAGTTTTGAAAAGATCTAAGAAGTCTCAGAGAAGCTTGTTAGAAGTGACAAAGAGGCTTCTTTTAAATATTTCTGGGCCCATACCTGCAACCCTGTGTTCACATGATCCGTCCCACTGGATAAATTGTTCCCCAAACCAGATTAGGGTACAGGTGGGTAATCTCACTGATAAGACATCCTCCAGTTTCAAGAGGACCAAGTAATATCTGAGTCAGTAACATCTGCCTGCTGAAACTGATCCTCACAGCAGAAAACTCACAACTGCTCACAAATCGTTTAGCTCAAGAGGAAGAGATTCTTGCTTTGATATCTAAGCTCAAATCCTGCTGACTGCATAGGCTGGTGGTCATATATATGAGCTGTGTATACACACACAAATAAGCAGTGTATATCATGTGTGCAGCAGCAATACAGCATTTTTATCAATTTAATTTTTTGCAAATACATTTCTAAAGGTAGAAATGAAGGCAACAAAGTAAGTGGAGACAGGTACCTCGACTGTGAAATGTTGGCAAATATATCCAGCACACCTTGCCACTCTCACTAATGAGCAGTATCTGCTGAGCATGTCGGGTATTTCATACCCTTCACTCCACCACACCAGCCCTTGCCTGAAGAGCAAGCTGGAGGCTATCAGTTATAAGCAACTTTATCTTAGTACTGCATTTCGTTTTGCAGCAACTATTGTTCTCAGTCACTATGTATCCCAAGTACAATTGGTACGCTACACCCATGCCAGGTATGGAACATCAGGGAACAAATATTTCATTAAAAATTGTAATCATTAGGAATAATCTTTTTAAAAAAATTAGATTACCAAGGAAGGATAGTCCCTGCAGAGTCCTGCTGCTCAAGATTAATGGGATTACACATTCCCATAAAGGTAGATTACTTCCCTGCCCTGTTCTCATTCCCTGATTGTGCAGTGCTTCTTATTAGCACTCTGGAAACTTTTTCTGGTGAAATATGAAACAAAGTGGAAGCTGTCCTAGCTATGGTTGTTAATAGGCTGCATTTCAATCCCTGTTCACCAAGAAGTTCACAGGGAGCCACAGACATTTTGCAGATATTGCTTTCATTTGTCTGAACCATGCAATGTTTTGTAATGGGAGCTATAGGTGGGATTTATCAAACCTATACTCAGCCACCAAAAAATTAGGCATCCTGTCTCAGGTAATCATGCAAACTCCTCCTATACTTGATGTGTAAAGGCAGTTCTGGAAAATATCTTTTTTTTAATTTATCCTAGATAGCTGTCATCAGATCATTTAAATTGTCCTCTGAGTGTACCTTTCACTCTACATCAACCAGTTCAGATGGACCATAGCTGACTATTTTAGACAAATTTTCCAATGGTAAAGTCAGGAACTATGAATTATACCCAAAGTGAAATTGCAAAGTATTGGATTCTCAACTAAACAGAACGGGAAGCATGATGCAAAGTGAATACCTGAGCAAACAGCTGCAAACTGGAAGCAATCCCTACCTCAGTAATCCCTCTAGAAATCCTTCAAGTCCAGGGCTGTGCTGGATCATTCAGCCCTGCTGAGTTTCTTGTTAGTCTACGGACAGCATCATAGTATATGGACGTACTACAGGTCACAAGCATGTACCTTTGCATGGCACTCAACTGTTACTTGTCTTAAATTGTATTGCATTGCAGCATGTAGACACTGTGAGAAAGTTTCACTGGTGTTTCAATTTGTATCTTAAAATTTGGATAAAAATTAGGCTTTAAATGTAAGCCAGAAAACTACTTTTAGAGGAGACGCTCCCCACAGGCTATACAAATTGAATCGGCTGAATTTCACAGATACTCAATTTCAAAGTTAATTTCTCGTGTCATCTTATACTCTGGCTCCATCCTGGACTGGAATACATCAGTGGCAAGCGTTTCCCTTTTGGACTTCACCTGAGAGGCATGTGTTTTAGCACATGCTTTATGCTGATGGGCATGTGCTATGAACTAATGGCTCTTAGGCCTTATGGTACCTAAGGGAGCATATGTAGCAGTCTCAGAGAGCAGTGTACTTTGGGAACAACAGGAGGTGCTTGCCTGCCAACATTAGGAGTTAAACTTGTCAAAGGAGGACACAGGACTTCAACACCACTTCAGTCAGGAGGTTCAAAAAAAACTTAAATTGAGCTATTGCTAAACTAAAAGAATACAGGCCAGATATGGCTCTCACAGTGAAGAGATGGCCTCTCCAACAAGGGAGGTGTTTTGAGTCATGAATCCAACCCTAGTAAAAGCTAGAACGGACCTGAATACACAACAGCATGGTTATATTATTTGCCTGTATTGTGGATTTGAAATGTTCAGAGCCTCTTAAATAGTACTCATACAATCTTGGCCCAAAGAACTGGTAATCTAAGTATAATGAACCAAGTCCCAAGTTCCTAACATGGATTCTGATCCCATATTCCAATCATGAACTTACCTGAGACTTTTAAATCAAAAGTAAGAGTGTCATCTCCAATTTTGCATGTGTATGTTCCCTCATCTTCTTCCATCACAGCCGAAGCCACAAGCTTATGTAGCTTCCCCTTATCTTCCATAGTGAATTTCTTGCTTGCCTTGATTTCTTTGCCATCTTTGTACCACTTAACCATGATGTTGGCTTCAGAGGTCTCAGAAACAAATTCAGCCTGTTTTCCAGTAATGACTCTGATAATTCCTCCAGTTTTCTCTTTGTTTATGAAGGTTGCAAGTGCTGAAATAAAATAGGGACACACAGGTCTGGTAAGGAATTGTGGGGACATGAGCAAATATGTACACTTCATTTACATTAAGTATTAATTTATCATAGGGCCAAAAATGCATATGTAATTATGGATCTAATTATTAGATTTATGCAGAAGTGCCAAATTTTCAGATTTTATAAAGCTTATACCAAGTCATCATATGCTTCAAAGCCAAGGGAAATACCTGCATGGATGAGCAAAGAACTCCTGACAAAACTCCAACAGAAGAAGGAAGCATGCAGAATGTGGAAAAGGGGACAGGCCACTTGGGAGTAGTATAGGGACACTGTCAGAGTGTGCAGGGATGCAACAAGGAAGGCCAGGGGCCATTTGGAATTCAATCTGGCAAGGGATGTCAAGGACAACAAGAAGGACTTCTTCAAATACATCAGTAGCAAAAGGAAGACTAGAGAAAACATCGGCCCACGGCTGAATGGGGCAGGTGCCCTGGCAACAGGGGACACAGAGAAAGCAAAGATACTGAATGCCACCTTTGCTTCAGTCTTCACTGCTAAGGCCAGCCCTCAGAAAACCCGGACCCTGGGGACAAGAGAGAAAGTCTGCAGAAAGGAAGACTTGCTCTTGGTCGAGGAGGATCGGGTTAGAGATCATTTAGGCAAACTTGACACCCACAAATCCGTGGGCCCTGACGGGATGCAGCCACGAGTGCTGAGGGAGCGGGCGGATGTTATTGCTAGGCCACTCTCCACCATCTTGGAAAGGTCCTGGGGAACAGGAGAGGTGCCTGAGGACTGGAAGAAAGCCAGTGTCACCCCAGTCTTCCAAAAGGGCAAGGAGGAGGACTGAGGGAACTACAGGCCTGTCAGCCTCCCCTCCAGCCCTGGAAAGGCCATGGAACAGCTCATCCGGGAGGTCATCTCCAAGCACGGGGAGGACAAGAAGGGGATCAGGAGCAGTCAGCACAGATTCACCAAAGGGAAATCGTGCTTGACCAATCTGATAGCCTTCTCTGGATGGAGTGTCTGGCTGGGGAGATGAGGGCAGAGCAGTGGCTGTGGTCTCCCTGGCCTTCATCAGGGCTTTGGACGCTGTCTGCCATCCCATCCTCCCAGGCAAGCTCAGGAAGTGTGGGTTGGATGAGTGGACGGTGAGGTGGATGGAGAACTGGCTGGATGGCCAAGCTCAGAGGGTTGTGGTCAGTGGTGCAGAGTCTAGTTGGAGGCCTCGAGCTAGCGGTGTCCCCCAGGGGTCAGTCCTGAGTCCAGTCTTGTTCAATGTATTCATCAGTGACC